AGGAGATCAGAGCTCGAGACAGCGTGTGAAGATTTCAGCAACGTGATTGGCTCCTCATCGGTTTACACATTATGCAAGGGCACGTTGTCGAGTGGAGTTGAAATAGCGGTGCTATGGCTTGCCATAGAATCTGCTAAGGATTGGTCAAGAGATCAAGAGGCACAGTTCAGACATAAGGTATAACCTTTTGTTCTTCCGGTTTTAAGTATCAGTCGATCCCATTTCCTTCCCGGTCTATCGGTTTTTAAGGTTTCTGTCTTGTCGTTGTTTCAGATTGAAACATTATCGAAAGTAAACCACAAGAACTTTGTGAATCTCATTGGATATTGCGAGGAAGACGAACCTTTCACAAGAATGATGGTTTTCGAGTATGCTCCGAATGGGAACCTTTTTGAACATTTGCACAGTAAGTTATTACTATGGGGCATTTGCTCCTTTTTCCGATTTCATTTTGTATGTTAAGCATATATAATATATATCAGTGTATAAGCTTTTAGTTGAGATAGAACACGACTTTCAGTTCTTTCTATAATCGGTTTACAAAAACTATACCTAATGTGTGAATTGAACCACTACAGTTAGGGAGGCGGAACACTTGGATTGGGCAATGCGAATGAGGATCGTGATGGGCATGGCGTATTGCCTCGAGCACCTCCACAACTTGACGCCCCCGCTCTTCCTCAGAAACATGAATTCCTCGACTGTACACCTCTCGAATGACTACGCGGCCAAGATGTCCGACTTTGTGTTCTGGAGTGAGGCGGCCGCGGGCGAGATGCATTCCAATGCGGCGAGTAACGTGTACAGCTTCGGTGTCATTCTGTTCGAGACGATGACGGGTCGCCTGCCTTACTCCGACAGCACCAGCTCTCTCGAAGACTGGGCGTCGCACTACCTTAGAGGAGGGCAATCTATGCGTGAAATGGCCGACCCCACTTTGGATTCTTTCGAAGAGGATAAGATCAATAGAATTGGGGAAGTAATTAGGTTATGTGTTCATCCTCAGCCAAGACTAAGGCCAGCCATGAGAGAAGTTACTGCTAGATTGAGAGAAATAACTGAGATAGGACCTGATGGAGCAATCCCTAAAGTTTCTCCTCTTTGGTGGGCAGAGCTAGAGATTATATCTAGTGAGACATCTTAAGAGTAACTTTTTAGGCGATGTTTAGTTTACGGGATGTAAGATTCTTTTCGAAATGTAGTGTGAGAATACGATAATGTAAAAGTATCTTGTATGTTTATGCATGAGACCCCCACTATCCTTGTAGGGTAGGCTAAAATTGTAAATAGTTGAAACTGGGAAAGATTGGTAGACTTTTTTTAAATGCAATTTTCATTTTTGGTTTGCTTAGTCAAAATAAAGGAGCTACATGTGCTTAGAATCAGCACTATCTAACATGACTGAGATTATAAAAATATACCACACTTCTAACAAATTATTTTCTGCAAGTTCCATGTACAATTTTTTATTGTTTTTAAATTTTGAAAAGGATGCAGAGTTGTTAAGCAATAACTACTTTTCATGTGGTTTTTTTTTTCACTTAATTATATGTCAATTTGATTCCATTTAGATAAAGTTTGAGGTTCAAGACTTCAAGTTTTAGGTATAAAGTAAGTTAATTCTATTGGAGGTCCCTTGTCTTTGGTGGCAATTTTAAATTTAGTCTCAAACTATCGTTAATGTCATTTTACATCCTAGACTATCATTTTTTGGACATTTTTAGTCCTTCTCATGATTTTTTCTATTTTTAGTAAGGGTATTTTTGTCTCTTCATATTTTTCTTTTGTTATTTTTTCTGGTTTCAATTGGTTTATGACTTTATTAAAAATTGGTTGAAAAATATCGTTACTAAAAATTAGAGGTTACCTAAAGTTCTAAACCAATTAAATTGGTTGAAACCGGAAAAGTAACAAAAGAAAAATATGAAGAGACATAAATGTCCTTACTAAAAATAGAAAAAGTCATGAGAATGACTAAAAGTGTCCAAAAAATAATAGTCTTGGATGTAAAATGGCAAAAACGATAATTTGAAACTAAATTTGAATTGTCACCAAAGACAAAGGACCTTTAGTGGAATTAACTAATAAAGTAACACGAGTAAAAAGAAGTTCCTCTAAATGAAATCTAACAATAATTTGAAAATGAATTAGTTAAAAGCCTAGTTTTGGTAAAATGATTGATCAGCTAAAATTGGCTAATTTGACTAATTTTAACTGTTTAACTTGATCAAACAATTAAAATTGGTGTTTGGTAAATCAACTTATTGACTTAGTTTATTGGTACAATCAGTTGAAAATCAAAAAATTAGCTGATCATACTCAAAATTTAATGTAATTATTACTCCGTAGATATCAACGATTTTTCTAAATTAGTGTTTGACAAATCAGTTTATTAACTTAGCTGATTGGTGCCATCAGCTGAAAATCAAAAAATTGTGACGACGTCTTCAATATAGCTAATCACACTCAAAATTTAATGTAATTATTAGATATCAAGGATTTTTCTAAATGAGGTTGAAAACATCTTGAAGAGTCTAAACTCAAATATTTGGAGGTGGTAGAAAAAATAATAATAATAATTCATGCAAATAAAAACCATTTGAACTGATTTTCTCCGAATTCGAATTTTTTTTCCAAACAACCTGGAGAAGATGTGTGGTTGTGAATTTGTCAACGTCAACGATGAACAAATTTATTGTAACAGCATTGTAGACGCATCAATAAATAAAGACACAAACATCTTTTGTCAGACAATTATTAAATCGGTTTTTAACATTGTAAGAAATCGAAACCAAGATTCTGCAAAATATTTTAATCCAATAAAAGTTGAATAAATCCTGTCCACTTAATCTGCTATTCACTATGAATCTACAACCAAAAGATGAAGTACACAAATCTACCATTATTCTTAAATAATAATAATAATAATAATAATAATAATAATAATAATAATAATAAGGAATAAGGATCAAATAGGCCATCAAACTACACACCAAACTTCAATTAGGCCATCCAACTCAAAAAAACTACAATCAAGTCCCTGAATAGCACAAATTCAAACAATTGAACCTAAAATGACCTGTTGAACTGGTAATTAGATGACGTGGCGGTTACTGAATTATTTTTTATTTTAAAAACTTATTTTAATAATTCTTAAATAATAAAACTTTTAAAACAAAACAAAAAAAAAAATGGAAAAGGAAAAACGCCGGAAATTTACATCAAACAAAAAAAGAATCCGCCGTTCTCCTACAATTTGTCGTCAACAATGGAGCATCCTTTTCCGGTGATGGAGAGGATCAACGACGACGAAGGCACGCCACTAAGGACCGTCGTGTTCTGCAAATCATCGACCGGAGGTTCACGATGCGGCTGAGTGCGGGCGGATGGCGACGGCGTTGGCGTTGGCGTTGCGTCGAGGCGGAGCTGGGTTTATTTTTTCCGGTTACGATGCTTCTGCTGTCTTCCCTCTCAGACGACGCCGACAACCATTCTCATTCTCGACTGTTCGTCGCTGCTCTGCTGGATTATGCCGGTGGTGTTGACGGTGAAAATGAAGGTGGTGCTGAGATCATGATTGCAGTAGCGTAAGAAACAGACGAAGAAGAGGGGGGAGGGGGTCGCCGGTGGTTTTTCGTTTTCTTTTTTTTTTTTAATTATTTAAAAAGTTAAAATAAATTTTTAAAATAAAAATTAATTTGATAACTGCCATGTCATCTAATTATCCGGTCAACAGGTCACTCTAGGCTCAATTGTTTAAATTTGTGTTGTTCAAGGACTTGATTGTAGATTTTTTGAGTTGGATGGTCTAATTGAAGTTTGGTGTGTAGTTCGATGGCCTATTTGACCCTTAAATAATAATAATAATAATAATAATAATAATTATTATTATTATTATTATTATTATTATTATTATAAAAAACATAATTCAGATTCAACACACAATATCACAAATTTTCCTTTTTTGTTATTAACTATAACTTTATATAACAATTATAATAAAATATAGAGAAAAAGGGTCAAATAGACCCCTAAACATTACCCTAAAGGTCAATTAGCCCCCTAAACTTTAAAAAAGGTCAATTAAACACTCAAGCATGCTAAATTTGGTCAATGAAGCCCAAAAACCGGTAAATGACCTGTTTTTACCGATCATTTTAATTCCGGCGACGAAATCCGACCACTGGTGACGGATTCCGACCACCGGCGAATTTTTCCGGCGGCCGGCGAATTAATTTTCCGGTCGTCTTCCACCGGAGAAGACGACCGAACGGCCGCCTTCTCCAGCCTTCTCCACTGGAGAAGGCGGCCGTCCGGTAGTCTTCTCCGGTGGAAGACAACCGGACGGCCGGAAAAATTCGTCGATGGCTGGAATTGTCACCGGTGGCCGGATTTCGTCGCCGGAATTAAAATGACCGGTAAAAACAGGTCATTTACCGGTTTTTGGGCTTCATTGATCAAATTTAGCATGTTTGAGTGTTTAATTGACTTTTTTTAAAGTTTAGGGGGCTAATTGACCTTTAGGGTAATGTTTAGGGGTCTATTTGACCCTTTTCTCTAAAATATATTTTTTTTTAGTGACGAGAAACTAATGGTCACTACCCAAGAGTGTATACTAGATAAACTTTGCTTTGTGACCCTAGTCGGTAAATGACAACAAAAAAGATAAATTAGCTTAGGTTGTCCATAGTTAACCTGCTCAAACCAAAGAGGCCGTTCCCATTAGAGTCAAACTTATAACCTTATAGTTACTAAGTCAACAACATGACCAACTTAAATGGAGTTACAATTACCCACTAATAAAATAATTCTTAACTAGACCTAACACAATATCAAGTTTAACAAACATCTTATCTTCTCTATAACTTTAATGTATGACTTGACAAGTATAAAATATTTATTCATCATGGTTTAACATGTATCCATATTTATTGAACTTGATATTGTGTTTCAAGAAAAACAAAACATAAAACCTTTTAAAAAAAAAAAAAACTTGGGACATCAAGCTAGAAGTGACATGCACGTAGAAACTTGCATCAGCCTAGCCTAAATATGCTTTGCAAATAATGCAAAATTAATAAATAGTTATATGGATCAAAAGAGACTTCACCAACCTGCAGGTGGAAGTCACGTTAGCAATAATTAAGGAAGCAAATGCAGCTTACTGCAGCTCACGTCTGTTTGAAACCACAACTGCTATTGCAATATTGCATGCAGATCAGCTATATATAACCCTCAAATCAATGACAACACAGCAACACAACAGTCTTAAACCAAGAATCCTCAAAAAGCTTGGTTGGATCTAATCCAAGAAAGATGGCAAGCTGCCAACTGATACTACTCACCATCTCAATGCTGTTGGTCTCTTTTGCCATCCCGATGATCACAGCGTATGAACATGCTCCAGCCAAGCCAGCAGGGAAGCCCATAGATGCAGTGGTTGAAGGTCTGGTCTACTGCCAGAGCTGTGATAGCTATGGATCGTGGTCTTTCACCGGAGCAAAGCCCATTGCAAAGGCTAAAGTTAGTGTTATCTGCAAAGATTACAGGAGGCGAGTGAGTTTCTATAAGGCGTTTGAAGCAGATGAAAATGGCTACTTCTATGCAGAGCTCAAAGGCTTCAAGATGGGGCATTCTTTCTTGGACCATCCGCTCCACTCTTGCAAAGTGAAACTAGTGTCGTCGCCTCTTGAAAACTGTGACACTTTCACCAATGTCAATGATGGACTGAATGGTGCCCCTCTCAGATATGAAGACAAAACTATAGTTCGACCTGATTATGAGGCTGTGATTTATACTGCAGGACCCTTGGCCTTTCGACCAGCTTACTGCCCTCCTAAAGCAAACTAAGTGCCAAATAATATTTCACCTTTTTCCTATCCTTTAAGTAACCAGAACTAATCTGCATTTTGTAACAGTGTATGACCTTTATTTTGCAACTGTAATCGAGCATGTTCTGTTCTTTTCAATAATCAAGTCTACATTACAGTATTACACCCCCTCCCTTTCTCAGTGTGCAATACTACCACAAATGATCTACTATTGGATGCATGATATGACAGAAAATTATGGTCAAGTAAAAAATTTGTCTAGTATACATGTCAATCAGGGTATAAATCTATAAAGATGGAGAATGTAGGACTTACCATGCTCTTAGAAATCCAACGGCATAGAAAACATTTTATTGATTTCATCCATTGCCTCTTTAGTGCACACCGTTTTCTCAAACAGATCATTTTCTCGCCTCAAAGTTGAACTTAGTTGGGACTTCTTCTCTTGAGGATGATCTATCTCATCATCAGGAAGTATCAGAAACCCACCACTGTCTCCCTCCATTTTAGTTGGTAAAAACTGGTTCTTTGGCTGACTATCCCTTAAAGATGAACTTAGCTGAGACTTCTTTTCTTGACTATGATCTACATCATCATCAGGAAGTATCATAAACCCGGAAGTGCCCTCCTCCATTTTATTTGCTGTGCTCTGTTTCTTTGGCCGAGATTTTCTTGTAAACTCAATTGGTTTTCCAAACATGCTATTTATATCAGCCATAGCCTCCTTCAGGTTAATGGTGGGGTCTACTAGGCCATGATGGCAAGCATTCTCGACCTCTAAATCATCAGAAATGGTGGAACCTACAAATCGAATAACAACTGTGTCCTCCCTGCGTAGTCTTTCTTGAGGTGGCCTCTCAGTATCATGATCTTTCAGTGGTTCTGTAACAGCATCACTAGGTCTGGGAAATACAAAGCCTTTAACAACCTCATTTGGAATGCTAGTGCTTCCAGTAAAATGTTGGAGTTTATTGTGATTGGACCTATCACTGCAAACTCCCTCCATGGCATCATTGCTTTCATCATTATATTCGTCTTCGTCAACATATATCTGAAACGGCTCTTGTAGAGGTTGCTGAGTTCCAATTCTAGTAGTTCCTGAAGTTGATGCACCACTTGTCAGTATTTGGTCCGATGGCTGAACACCATCAACTGTTTTCTCATCAACATATATCTCAAATCCATTGTTGGACACCGGATCAACTTTTGGTTGGCTTCGAGTAGATTTCTTGCCAGCAAATGATGGTTCTAGTGGCTCACGGAACATGCTATTGATAGCATTCATAGCCTCTTTAGTATTGATTGTGGGTTCAACCAGACCATGATGCCTAGCATCTTCAAAATCAGACTTCCCAACAATGGCATTGCCTACAAATTTTTTAACCACAATAGTATCATCGCCAGAAAATTTTCTGTGGTCATTGGATTCTTTAACACAAACTTTCCTGCTGAAATCATCCAAGGCTCCATTGTCTGTGGATGGACCGGCAAAACCTCCCATATTTCTGGGATTTAATCCTAGATTCTGATTATTAACTTCCTTCACTTGCAGGTCATGTCCAATCTTAGGAGTGTTTTCTGTTGTGAGCAAGTTCTCATTGTTTTCCTTGGTGCCTTTATCATTCAGGGGAACACTAATAGTGCAAGGAAGCCTGTTCATACTTTTACGTTCCTGGCGCTGCAAGAGATATGCCCTTGTTATAATAATTGACTCTTAGGATTTAGAAAGATCTTAATAAAAATCATCATCAATATGAAGAACCTGAATTTTCTTGTTCTTATGCTTCTCTAAGCGATTAATGAATTGGTCATATGACTTGTGCAGCTCATCAAGAGGTTCTGCAAGGCTGTTCATGGAAAAGTGAAATAGATCTAAATTTTAAAAACTATTAACACTGTCTTTCTGGAGTAGATTTTTAAGCAGAAAAATGCAATCATCAATTAATCAAAGAATATGAAGTTTCTTACTTCTGCACACCTAAATGGTACATCTTCTCAGCAGCCTCAAACTTCTTCATCTTCTCGTAGTATAGCGCATATGCTTGGTAAAATAGGGCGTTCTTCATCCCAATTCGATTCATTTCCATGCTTCTTAGCACTGCTTTCGGGTCATCCACATAATCCATCTAAGAAAAGACAAAAGAATTTGACTGTGAAAATATCTTCAGCTAATTTTTATACGAAATCCAACCCTAATAGTTTCCATTTCGTAATCAACACAAGAGATGATCAGTGGTGCTATCAGACACTCAATGAGTGGATATTTTCACGAAATGATTTACCAGTTGCAACCAAACGCGAAGGTACCGCAAATCATTGGAATATCGCCTATCAGTCTCAAAAGTCTGCGCACATTTCTGCAGAAATCTAGGGAGCTTCTCCTTAAGAGCCTGTGGAGGAAGAGACTCCTTCATCTTCCTAATCCCTCTGTTAGAAACATTATCAAAAAACGTATTATATATTAAGCTATTAAACCTATATCTAAAACAGCGGAAAGTGAAATGTGGTAAAAGAGAAGAGCAAATGGGGCTGCGTTACCGGAGCCATGGGAGAAGAGGATCTCTGCCGGCGTAGGATTTGATGTCTGAGATGACTGAAGAGAAGAGATTATTGTACAGAGTGTCGCCGCCCGACATTGATGCGCCGGCGATCGCTTGAGAGGATCGTAGTGTTGAAAGCAGAGTGAGTGACAGTGACAATACAAATTTGAATTTTGAAAGAGCGCTAATTGCGTCTCTGGCCTAGGGCAAATTTTATATTAATATCATTTTAGTCCTTTAATTTTTCATTTCTATAATTCTAGTCAAACATTTTTTTTTTTATTTTTGTAAATTTATAGTTTAGAATTTTCTTTTTTAGAATCATGTTTAAACAAGTCATCGAACTACATGTAAAATTAAAGTTAAACTAACAAATTGTAATTGGCTCATTGAAACTCCCCCCTCCCCCCGGCCCCCATCTCCTCCCTATCATTGTCTAATTGTCTCTTGTCTGAAGACAAAGAAAGTAGGGATTGGACTGTTCAGTGATCCAATTGCAGTTTTTTGAGTTAAATGACTCATTTACATTTTCACACGTAGTTCAATGGTCTATTTGAATGTATTTATGGGATAGTTTAATCTAGAATCACACATGACAATTTTTGAAGACATAGCTATCAAATGTGACAATTGACTAATAAGATGAAAAAAAAAAAAAAAAAAGGACAATATACTCTCTTCATCTCGATGTCTAGAACTCTAGATAAAGGAGAAGCTTGCCTTCTTTAGTTCTTTGTCTATTTTAAAAAAATATTAGATACGTATACAATCACAAGCTTTCATCATCTATATTAATTCTTTAAAAAAAAAATTACATTAACCATAACAGATCCAAGAAAGATTTTGTTTAAAATAGTATTAGTCATAAGTCATGTTTGATAATGATAGATACCCTAAATCGGGCTCCCGATCTAGAAAGTGTGAAGCGGCAGTCAGGCTCGAGCACAGCGCAACACTTGGCAAATCGCGAGAAAGGAGGTTGCACCCGTTATTCCAGCATATCATACGAAGCACCCGGGAGACCAGGCTAGCAGGTGAGCGTGCACTCATATAGGAGCTGGCTAGCTCATGGCATAGTGATCAGCCTTAGTAGTCGGCGTGTCCCCGACTGGGTTCTTTTCGAGGACGGCTAGGCGACTAGGCTTAGTAGTCAGTGTGTCCTCGACCGGTCTCTCTAGGGACCCGGATGGGCGACCAGGCTCCGGTCTCTCTAGGGACCCGGATGGGCGACCAGGCTCGGTAGTCACCGTGTCTTCGACCGAGCTCCCTACAAAGGACCTAGACGAGCGACCAGGCTTTGCGGCAGCAGCGTCCTTGCCTGAGTGCCTCAGCCTCCCTAGTTGGGCTACCTCACTAGGCGGTCGGTGCATCCCCGACTGAGTGCACACCCAGAGAAGGTTAACGGCGAATTTAGCAAAGATTCCTTTCATTGTTTAAATAGCTTCATTTTCCAGCTATGGCAGCTGTTACACATTAATTATGGTAGAATTCCATAGCCGATTTAGCTCCACCTTTGACATACTTTCCTTGTTGAAAGCTAGTTCTCTTGTATAAATACCCCCACGGGGTCATCATGTAAAAGGTCAAAACTCTCTGGGAGTAACACCGCATTATTCTCTCAACTATATCTAGTTTAATATCCAAACCCTAAGTGGTTACGGTAGTGTTGGCTTGCCGAACGGCTACCCCTAAGCCGTAAAACCAACATTGGCACTGTCTGTGGGGATCGAAACTAAAGGTCCCGTCTCTAAGCTTTGCTGTAATTTTGTGTGTAATGGTAGACAACTATTATTACCTACTTTTCTTGACAAATAGTTGGTGTAGAGTAATAACACAGATTACCAAACAGATAGTTAATCAGAGATATCACCAAACAAAGAAAAGTGCGGAAAAGGTAAACATGCAACACAAGATTTGGTTACCCAGTTCGATACAATGTGTATCTACATCTGGGGAACGATCACGGATACGTCCAATCCACTAACTCAACTTCAAAGTACAAAGGTGGAGAAGTACAATCTCACCCGAGTTGCTACACAAGGTAAGTACCCAATCAACCTTGAATTGAAACATGTGCTCCATCTCAACTAAAAGCCTAAGCTGATAGTTAGATTGCACATTAATGGCTATATGCTCACACGCCCCCTCAGGTGTGCGGTGGGTTCCAAGCAACACGTGGACCGGTAAACCGTAGTCGCTTATGAGTGGCGCTAAGATTCAAACCCATGACCTTTGGTCTGGCTTTGATACCAAATTGAAACATGTGCTCCATCTCAACTAAAAGCCTAAGCTGATAGTTAGATTGCACATTAATGGCTATATGCTCACACCTTGAACTTAGTGGATTGCGAAGTCGGAGAGCTACGCACTCAGAGGTCCACGAAAATCCCTTCCATGGAGATCAATCTCTGGTGTAGTCCGCTTCGTGACGCAATCCTTCACTGCATCCAACAGTTGCGTGATCTTGGCATCCAATGGTTTAAGCTCAGAATGTTCTTCTCAAATTCATCAACTCAAATCACCATGAACAACCAGTATCGAGAAGAGCTTTTATGAACCAGGGAGAGAACTTAATACTCAAGTGCTTTTCTTTTGATTCTGGAGTGTATCGGATGGATTCATTAACCTTTCAATGAATCAGCACTTTAGAATATATAGTCTCTGGTTCAGGGAGGTATCTGTAATCTAAATCACCCAACCGCTTCTTAGCTAGATTACGTAGATACCCCTTTGAGGTGAAAGGATGACCAAGGTCTTTATTGTAAAACCACCTCAAGGCATAACTGCCTTCTGCCAGCGCATACGCTCCTCAGATAGTCAGTCTTCTTATAAGCTTCTAGTCTTCACATAAGCTTCTGATGTATTCCCTGATCAATCAGGTCTTCAACTTCTAAACTTCAGACAGACTCTGACACGGCCTAACTATTTTGCCATAATAATAAAACCAATTACAAAGTTGGGGTTTATCTATCTAACCAAAACACTAACATTTGCTAATGACACGAACACGACGTAGCAGTCGGAACGCTGTCGCCCAGCAATCAACGGGCATGTCATCGTCATCGCGAATGCGGAGGAGCAACCTGCCGATAGCCGCACCTCCGTAGGAGATTTGAGCTAAGCCACCGTGCCCCGGTGAACGATCGGTAGCACGTATCGAGCATATTGTCGCTCCGACTCACGAAACACCGGGGGACAACCTTCCACCGCTTGTCGCTCATGCCTAACCCACTCTCGCGGAGTTGTTGGCACAAGCCTTTGAGGCACACGCGCGTGGAGGAGCCCAAGTGCCCCACGCCGCTCATCCTCGACCTGCGCAGTCGGTTCCCGCCGACAACCCTAACGTGGCATTATATAATGAACAAATATTAGTTGATATTTTCACATGTGCTGATTAGATGTTTAGGCTAAAAAATAAGTAACAATTATGTCAAGTACATTTTTTAAAATTTTTAAATTTGAGAGTTTTTTGGTATTATTGACTCTATTACAATGTAGTATGTGTCCATACATATTTTCTTAACCTACTAAAGTACAAAGAGTCAATGCTCTCATTGGAGTTTGAACTTGTTACTTCCCATTTGATTTGTTTATTTATTTATTTTTAGAAAAATTGAATATTTAGTCCCTGAGTTATAACCAAATTTCGACTCAATCCCTAAGTTATGGCCATATTGGAGTTTAGTTCCTCAATTATGATAAAAGTGGCGAGTTTAGTCCATAGCGTTAATATTCCGTCTCCAGCTAACAGAAAACTTAAAAACAATTTAATAATAGAGGGGTAAAATAGGGATTTCAAATTATAATTTCCTTATTATGTTGAAACTCATTGTGCAAGAGTCATCCTTTTCTTCTTTTATCTACAATCGAAGGTATTTTTCTCCCGAAGTTCTGAAATCTCAAATTCGTCCACTTCCTTGCTGCGAAATTCATATGTAAGTTGTTTCTCTATTTTATATGTTTAAATAAATAATCAATATTCTCCGTGTTAATGAACCAATTTAGCCATTAATTATAAGATGTCATCTCTTAGTTGTGGTACTTCATATTTTCCCCAATTTGAGGACAATTTTCGATGTAGATGTGATGATTTATTACCCATCAAAATGTCATGGAGTTATGCTAATTGAGGAAAAATATACCAAGCTTGTCCATGTTATGGAGTAAATTTTTGTATTTGTCAAAAATTAGTAATTTAAGTTGTTGTTGTTGTTGGCTTTTTTTTTTTTTTTTTTTTTTTTTTTTTTTTTTAAATAGAATTGAAATATTGAAATTTGTTTTTTTTTTTTGTTTTTTGTTTTTTGTTTTTGTTTTTTTAGAAAAACGAGAGTAGGGTTTTTTCGCTGATTACATAAGCAACTTAGGATTTTTGTCGTTTTGAAAAAAATATTTGGACTAAGTTTACAAGTTTTATTAAGGAATTTACTTCTTTACCCATGAAATTAACTTTGTCAACACACCGTACCACTAGCGTCAATAACTAAACTTACCACTTCTCTCATAACCGAGGGACTACAAATGAATACGGTAATAATACAGGGACTGAGTTGTCACCACAGTTATAACTCAGGATCAAACTCACAATTTTCCCTTTTTTTTTGTCCAATTTGAAGGTCCAATTAGCATTGCTCATTTGCTTATAGGTTAATTATTTACTAATTTCCCACGTCATCATAAGTGAAAGTGTGAAACCGCAACAACAATCCCACGCACAAAAAAACCCCGGAACCCGTCAACGTTATTCCTCATGGCTGACCCTTCCGAAGAAAACCAAACAGAGTCGATTCACTCGGCAAGCGGCGGCGGCGGCGACGAGGATGACTACGAGGAAATCGACGAAGACGAAGAGGAGGATGAAGCTGAGGCGGAGCCGGTCAGCGCAGAGTCTCGAATGCGCGCCGACAAGACGAGGATGGAGAGCCTCTTCCGGCGATTGTCGTCGGAGAGAGTGCCGGTGCGAGTCCACGACGTGTTGATCAAAGGGAACTCCAAGACCAAGGACTCGCTAATCGAGGCGGAGGTGGAATTCCTCAAGTCCGCTACTACGCTCCAGCAGTTGCTCCAGGCCTCCGGTGTAGCCAATGCTAGGCTTCAACGCCTCGAGATTTTCGATTCCGTCAATATTACTCTGGATGCCGGCCCGCCGGAGCTCCCAGGGAC